CCTAGCGACGGCGGACACCACGGGACATCACGGGACACCGCGGGACACCGATGGCCACCGCTGGACGGAGGAGAATCATTTGTCGTGACTTCGCCCTAGCGACGGCGGACACCACGGGACACCGCGGGACACCGAGGGCCACCGCCGGACGGAGGAGAATCATTCGTTTTCATTTCGCCCTGGGGACGGCGGACACCACGGGAAACCTGGGAACACCACGGGACACCGCTAGGGCCACCGCCGGACGGACGGACGGACGGGCGAGCAACATTTGTCTTGACTTCAGCCCGAGCAACGGCGGGTTCATTCCTCTCGCGCGCCCACGCAGCTTCGCCTCGCCCGCGCGCACGACACGAACGAAACGAAACGATTTCCCGGTTGGGGGTCTCCGTTCCCTTGCGATCTTACCCCTCAACCTCCGACTTATTCATGTAGATTCACATCTGTATATATATACATACATGTACACACCTATACGACCGCCCTGCGGGCGATAAGGATGTTGGGGCGGAGATTGAGATCAAATGCCCACCCTGACTGACCTCCAGCCTGTCACCTTGAACATCTCCCCGAGCGTGGTGATCAATTGGATTGGATTGGATAAAATCAGATGGATTGGATCGGACAGGATAAGGTGAGCTGGATTGGACGAGAAAGCCCGCCGCAGGCGCGGACAAAAATGAATTGATGGATTGGGTTGGGTGGTTTGGATAAGATGATGTCTTGGATAAGATAAGATGAGTTGGATTGGAAGAAATGTATTGGATAAGACAAGATTGATTGGATTGGCCCGCCGCAGGCGCAGAAACAAATTAATTGATGGATTGGGTTGGGTGGATTGGATTGGGTGAGATAAGATAAGATGGGACAAGATGGGTTGGATAATATAAGATGGATTGGATTGAACAAGATGGATTGGATCAGATAAGCTGGATTGGATAAGAGAGCCTGCCGCAGGCGCCGAAAAAAATGAATTATGAAATTAGCGACATGCGTTAGCGCCGGGACACCCGGGACACCCGGGACACCCAGGATGCCGCCCGGCCCAACTGGGACACCTCCCGGCCACCGGCGGACGGGAACGGACTGTGGTTCCTATTTCGGCCTAGCTACAGGAGGATCACGCGCAGCTTCGCCTCGCCCGCACGCACGACACGAACACGAAACCGAAACCGATTTCCCGGTGGGGGGTCTCCGTTTCACTGCGATCTCACCCCCCAACCTCCGATGTATAGAATGGCCGTCGGCCCATCCCGCCACCGTGCCTGGACTGTGGGTCAAAGTCCTCAGGGACGCGCCTTGGGGTGTCTCCAGAGCGCTCTCGGTGGGCCTCCGGGGGTCCTTCGAGGGGGCAGTGGTGTTGCCTCTTGCGAGCTTCTAGAGGGCCTCTTGGGAGCGTCTTCGGGGTCTCTTGGGGCTTCGTGGGGGCCTCTTGGGGGCCTCTTGGGGGCCTCTTGGGGGCCTCTTGGTACCTTCTGGGGGCCTCTTGGGGCTTCGTGGGGGCCTCTTGGGGCCTCTTGGGGCCTCTTGGGGGCCTCTTGGGGGCCTCTTGGTACCTTCTGGGGGCCTCTTGGGGCTTCGTGGGAGCCTCTCTGGGGCCTCTTGGGGCCTCTGGGGGGCCTTTTGGGGGCCTCTTGGTACCTTCTGGGGGCCTCTCGGGGCCGAGGGATCGAAATGTCCGTTCGGGTCCCCCGTCTGGGCCCCCACGTGGAGCCGTCTTGGGGGCCTTTGGCCGCCTTTGAGGCCTGTTGGGCCGTCTTGAGGCCCTCTTGTGCCGTTTCGGGGCCCACTTAGATGCCTCTTCGGTTTGCTTGAGGCGATATTGGAGGCTTCTTGGGCCATCTCGGAGCGTAGATATCGAAGGCGCCTACCGCGAATCACCGCCGCCCCCTGCCTTTTTGGAAGCGCCTACGTGGCCGAACGTTGAGGCCAGACCTGCCAAGCTATCGGACCATGTGTTCCCCGAATCGGTTTGGAAAGCCTTCGGGGAACACGTGGGCATCTTGAAGGTCATCTTGGCCGTCTGGAGGCCATTTTGACCCTTTCGGGCCTTCTTGGAGGACGTCTTGGAGGGCTCTTGGGCCGTCTTGGAGGCCATCTTGAGCGTCTTGGAGGCCTCTTGGGCCGTCTTGGGGGCCTCGTGGGGCCGTCTTGGGCCTCTTGGGCGATCTTTGGGGGCACTTGGGCCGTCTCGGGCCGTCGAAAGGCTTTAAAAAAAAAATGCCACATCCTTCAAACACCTAAGGACAATCAATGTGTTTGGTCTTTCTGGCCTTCCTGGAGGCCGTCTTGGAGGCCTCTTGGGCCAGCTTCGAGCCAACTTCGGCCATCTTGGTGGGCTCCTGGCCCGTCGGAAGCCGTTTGGGGGGCCTTTCTGGGCTGACTTGGGGCCCTTTTGGTGTGTTCCAGGGCCGTCTTAGAGGCCATCTTGGGCGTCTTGGAGGCCTCTTGGGTCGTCTTTGTGCCCTCTTGGGGCCGTCTTGGGGGCCTCCTGGGCAGTCCTGAGGCCATCTTGGAGGCCTCTTGGGCGCTGTGGGGGCGATCTTGGGGGCCTCTTGGGCCGTCTTTGGCCGTCGGAAAGCCGAAAGGGAGCAAATATGAGCAACTTAAAGAACCTGGGGAAAATCAATGATGTTGGCCTCTTCGGGCCCTCGTGGAGGACCTCTTGGAGGCCTCTTGGGCCGTCTTGGAGGCCTCTTGGGCACCTCTTGGGCCGTCGTGTGCCGTCTTGGAGGTTTCTTGGGCGGACTTGGAGGCATCTCCTCCTCTCTTGGGCGGACTTTGAGGCCATCTTGGACCATCTTAGAGGCCATCTTGGGCTAACGTGGCCATCTTTGAGGCCATCTTCAGCCGTCTTGGAGGAACACATTTGGAAATCCTGCTCCGTGGCAATCCTGACGGGACCCCAGCGGGACGGGCCGAAGCCCCAGGGGGAGTTCTTTTGGAAAAGAACCAAAACCAAAACCTAGAGGGTTTAGCACGCCAGGCACCCCTGCGATGAATCGACAGGGGGCGGCGGATGTCATGGCCGTCGGCCCATCCCGCCACCGTGCTTGGGTTGTGGGGAGTCCTCGCGGATGCTTCTTGGGATCTCTTCGAAGGACTCTCGGGAGCCTCTGGCGGGCAGTTTTGAAGCCTCTTGGGGGGTCCCCTGGGGATCTCCTGGGGCTTCCTGTGGGCCTCTTGGGGGCATCTTGGGTCTCTCAGGAGCCTCTTGGGGGCTTTTTGGGGCATCCTGGGAGCCTGTTGGGGCGAAGAGCTTGACATGTCGGTTCGAGCTCCCCTTCTGGCGTCTCTCTTTAGGCATTATTGGGGCCGTCTTGGAGGCCTCTTGGGTTCTCTTTGAGGCCTCCTGTCGTGTCTCGGCACCCTCTTGACTGCATCTTAGGCTGTCTTGGGGCGATATGTGAGGCATCTTGGTCCGTATTGGAGCGTCTGGAAGCCGAAAACGCTGCAAAGGCAGAAACCAAATGAAAGGCTGTGAATTTTGCCTCCTGGGGCCTTCTAGGGAGTGCTCTTGAAAGCCTTGGAGGCGTGTCGGGCCGTCTGGAGGCCATCTTGGGCGTCTTGGAGTGATCCTTTGGCGAGTCTGGGCCTTCTTGGACTGTCTGGGCTGCCTCCTTGAGCTTTCTTGGTCCGTTTCGGGGCCCTCCTAGGCGAGGGGGATCGTCCCAGATGCCCACTCGGGTCACTCCAGGAGCGTTCAGCAGCGCCCAGGAATTACACGAATTTCTTGGTCCGGACCCTGCAGAACCTCACAACCCCTCCGTCCATGCCACAAAGCGACATGAGCCTTGGGGGCACTCCACATCTTGCTGAAGGCAAGGTGGCAGAAACTGTGGAGGAGAAGGAGGAGGAGGAGCTGGAGGAGGAGGAGGAGGAGGAGGAGGAGGAGGAGGGGGAGGAGGAGGAGGAGGAGGAGGAGGAGGAAACGCAGGAAGAGGAGGAGGAGAGGAGGAGGAGCAGCAGGAGGAGCAGCAGGAGGAGGAGGAGGAGGAGGAGGAGGAGGGGGGAAGAGGCGGGAGAAGAGGAGAACGGAGAATGGAAGGAGGAAAGAAGAAGACGTGGGGGAGCAGGGAGGCACGATTGTCGGCGGGAGTGCAGATTCGAAGCGGAGACAACGACTCGAGCGAGCTGAACAAGATCTTCTCGACAAGAAGGGGTGAAAGAGGAGGGGGGAGAGGGAGAATTCGGACTCCGCCCCACCTCGAGAACGAGCACAACCTTGTTGGTGTGCCGATCTCCCGACTCCGACGCCTGGGACCTCAGACCTCAGACCGCGGGACTCAGAGGTCTCGACCCTTTCCCCAGGGGCAGGCGTTCGTCCCGTATTGTCTCGTGATGGCCCCCGGGGGCCGCCTTCGAGGTCAAAATTGGAGAAGAGACGCCTGGACTGAAAACAGGTCAGACCGGCAGAGGTCAGGGTGTGTCGGCGTGCCGCAGGTGGCACGAATGGCATGCTATTGTCGACTCAGGCATGTTTGCTTGCATGGCATCTTCCTCCCACCCATCCACCGCCTCTTCAAACAGCGCAGGGGCTACAAGGCGTGCAAGTGAGTCCCGACTTGCGTGACGGAGGAGGAGGAGGAGGAGGAGCAGGAGGATGTGGAAGAGGAGGAGGAGCAGGAGGAGGAGGAGGAGGAGGAGGAGGAAACGCAGGAAGAGGAGGAGGAGAGGAGGAGGAGCAGGAGGAGGAGGAGGAGGAGGAGGAGGAGGAGGCATCGAGCTTGCCGGAGCTAAGAGCCTGGCGGCCCACAGGGGGTGGGGGGGGGGGGGGGCAGGCTCGGCTTGGCGCCTCCAGTCAGCCCCTGCACGGCCCTGCACGGCGTGCGACCCCCCCCGCAGCCCTGGCGGGGGCTCCGGCTTGAGCGCCGCCTCGCGGAGGGCAGATGCATCGGAGGGGCTTTCGGACGTCTGCCGGTAGGCTCAGCTGCCGTCGTTTCCCGCAGGGCTTCTCTGACGTGTCCTGTGCTCCCGACGGGTTTGCTCCTGCCGCGGGGCGCCCTCCAGCCGCTGCGCCGCGCTGCTGGGGTGGCGGAGAGATGCCCCAGTCCTCCGCAAACGGCCGCCAGAGGCCAGAGCAAGGCCCGTAAACCGCTCAGAACCCACACGACCGGGGGGGTGGTCACCACCCACCAACCCACCCCAACCCAACCCGAAGGCCCCGATTTGCCATCCATTTCCAGTGGGGGAGGGGTCGGGGAACATCGAAAAAACACATCTGGAACCCATACCCCCCCCAACCCGAAATTCGCGTCTTCGGGTTGGGTTGGGGTGGTCCGGTAGGTAGTCAGGGGGGGGGGGGGGGGCAGTGGCCACGTTCTGGTCAGGGGCGTGTGCTCAGCGCGTCGAGCTGCTGGGTTCTGGCCCACCACTCTTCGGCGCGGCACGCTGGCCGCGCCCCGGTCCCCAGGCGTCATCTTCCCGGGTCGTTCTTAGCCTCCCGCCACGCGAAGCGGAGCGACACACCATCAGCCTGCAAGGCATTGCGTGTCGTAGGGGCCGCCGCCGCGACGCGCTAAGTAAAATTCCCTTCCGTATCCACCACGTCGTTTGGCCAGGCCTGGAGCACAGGGTTTCGGCAGAGGCGTTCGGTGCTTAAACGCTCCAGTATGTATTCAAGCAGTGGCGAGGCGTCCTGGCTTGGCTACATGCCCACCAAAGAATGTTCGAACCACTTGCTGTGGTTTGCACGTAATGTATTTCGGACATCCCTCACTGAGACCATCGTGTTTTAATGCATCAGCTCAATGTTATCAAAACCTTTTCTTGTGTGTTTGCATTCCTTTTGGTCCGGATACTATGTAACGGTAGGCCTACAGAAATGCCGGCACTGTCCGTCCCTGCTCAGAGCATACCACAGGTTGGGAAGTTGGGGCGTCTGTACACCGAGCTCCTTGGCTGGTGCAACGACTTGGTGTATAGTTCGAGTCCCTCCCATTGCAGGGGCAGGATGTTGGGCGACCACCCAGTGATCTTGACCCGTGGATCGGCACGATCGAAATGGCGCATGGGAAGAGCGGGGACGACGGCCGATAGCAGTCCTTGCCCTTGTCGTGCAGGGCTCGCTGTCGGTGTCGGCGCGGACGATGTCAACGTGAGACAAGGTGGCAGCCTGCCCAACAGCGGCCGTTGCCGGTTTGAACAACATGTCTCTTTCGTAGCCAGATCGGGCGTCCAAAGTGTCGTTCGCCTTCGCGCACGGCTGGCAACCCCCCATCCTCCTTCCTCCCCCTCGTCTTCTCCCTCGCGGATCGAGGCTGCTTGACTTGTGTTGACTGTTTTGGGGGGGCCTCTGGAAACCCCTCGGGACCTCCAAGGGACCTCCAGCGACCTTTGGAGGGACTCCAGCGAACTCCAGAGACCTCCTCCTGCAACCCCCGCCCTCCTCCTCATCCTCCCTTCCCACACACCTCCGACGTTCACCGCGTCTTCCAGGCCTTGCGCCCCAGAGCGCGCAGCCCCGAGGTCGACCTTTTTCCTTATCCCAGATCGTTCTGTCATGGTCCCGAGCGGAGGCGAAGGTTCGGGGGTGGACTCACCTCCTACCCTGACACGTCGATGAGTGAATTGTCCGTTGTCGGTTCTCGAGAGGGCGCCGCGGCCGTCATTTTCCAGGCTTGCGCCCGCCAGGTTCGGGCCTCAGATCGCTTTCACTAAACCACGTTTTACTAAAGTCAGGAGGGGAAAAAACACGCAGACACAATTAATCGTCGTTTCCCAGAAAATATGGAAAAAGTCGGGCAGTGGGGGGGAAGACGAAAACCCCCCAAATATGGGAAAATATTAGGGATATTCTTATTTGTGTGTATTTATTTGTGTGTGTGTGTCCTGGGGCCCCTTTATAAAGGGGGGCCTGTCCATCCCCGAAAATTGGCAGCGGCAGGGGCGACCCGCGCCCTCGGCTAGGCGTGTCTGGGCGGAGGGCCGGGGTCCCTGCGATCTGCTGGGCGGGGCAGAGGGGCACCGCTCGGCGCTCCGCCCTCACGCACCCCCTCCTCTCCTAACCCCCTGCCTCCCCATCCTTCGTCCATCCATCTGCCCTCCTGTGGTATCCTCGTCTGTCCTTCCCCCCTCCTCTCCTTCCCTCTCCCTTCCTCCTTCCTCCTCCCTCCTCCTCGTCGTCAGCCTCTCCCTCTTCGTCCCCCCGTTGTCTTGGTGTCCCCCCTTCCCCTGCTCCCTCACATCCTACCGTTGCTGCCGATCCACCCCGCCATCCTCACATTATCCGATTCGGCATTCCCCTCGTACCTCTCATAGTTTCCACCTTGTCGTAACTGATCGGATCCGTGCCACTGATCGGCCTGGGTCGACGGTGTCGCTTCTCAGGCCAACCTTCATGCTGCCGCGCGCCTGCATGGAGCGCCCGCCACCTGCAGCGTAGCTCCAGCTCCCTCTTTCTCCGGAGAGCGATATGTGTATACATATATGGCTACACATGTATACATACATACATACATATATACATCTAAACATAAACACACCGACGAACCTGCCCTTAGGGATTCTTACTTCTCGTCTAAAGAATTGGGCCTGTCTGTCGAACTGGAAGCTATGTTGCCGCCGTCGCCGCCCCGTTGCCACCTCGACGCCGCACGTAGCTGGGTCTGTCCGTCGGTCTGGCGGCTACCGTGCAGCCCGCGCCGCCTCGCCGCCGCCCATAACTGGGCCTGTGTTACGCTCTGGTGACCTGGTGGCTATGTTGTCGCCGTCGACGCCCCGTCGCCGTTCTCTCACCGTCTTGTTGCCGCCCCGTTCTCTGGGCTGCTTTGCACCACGTCGATTCTACAATTGAGATTTTTCTCAACAGAGATTCCGATCTACCACCCGCCCATCCCTGGATTTACCGCTTCCCCTCGGATAGTACAATTCACATTCTATCCCGCCATCCCGTTCATGTAAAACATGAGCGCATACCATCCCAGGGGGACCCTCACCGGTACCACATCCCTGACATATATTACCATGCGCACAAACTCGTTTTTCAAAATCACCACCTGCAAATCGCCCATTGCAAAAAGAATGGTACACAGTCGACACGCGCGCATCATCGCGCGCGCATGCCGAAATTTGTGAGAAACGCTATGCTCTGCAACGGTTCTCATATCGAGGTTACCGGTCCGGTCGTACAGAATTCGAAATCCATGGTTTGGCAACATGGCTTAAACAAGCCTGCGCGCTCTTGCATTTCCGAACGAAAACCTAGTTCTTTGTCAACATGGTTATCAAATTGGGCCAAGCGGGCTTCTCGCGCGCATGTTGAAATCATTCGAACGCCCTTGCTCTTTTGCTGGGTGGGGCACAATACCTGTCGAATAATACTATGCGGGCCACTCGCGCCCGTTGGCCGCGCGCGCATGTCAAAATCCCTCCAACACTTTCATCACCTGCACGTGGACACTATCATCGTCATCGGCGTGATCAGCATCGGCGCAGTCATCGGCCTTGCTGGCGCCATCGTCGCCAGCGTCACCAGCAACACTCACGTCATCATGGTGTCTGCCGTTGCCGACGTCGCCTTCATACCGCGCCCGTCCGAGTCACTGACTTGCACTGGTGTGCCCGCGCGTCAGCGCGGCCTGCGAGAAACACGGGTCGGGAAGTCCCTGGCGGACAGCGCCACCTCGACCACGTCCGTCGGGCCAGACTAGTTGGCCGCTTTGCGCGCGAGTTTGCGCGCGCTAGCGCAGACGCAGCGATGCGCCAGCCAGCGCCAAGCAGCCATCGCAATCGACCCGCATGGGTTTGAAAAAAACATTTGCGGGTTGGTTGGCGGGATTATTGCGCAAGCAGTGGAGTTGACTACCTACTGCGAACAAGTATTGTACCGCATAAGTTGCACCACAAGTATTGTAACACGTAGCTTGCTCCACATAGGTTGTACTACATAGATGGACCAGCAGAAATTGCAACACATACGTTGCACACTATAGATCGTACAACATAGGTTGCACCACGTAGATTGCTCAACATCTATTGCACCACGTCTATTGTTCCACGTCTACTGCATGACATCTATTGCTCCACATCATGTACATAAGCTGTATTGGCCCACGCAGATTGGAAACATCGGCTGAACCTCACAGATTGGTGATCGTTTTCTTATTCATTGTTTTGCCGATCGGCGCGGGCCCTCGAGCCCCCCCATTCCCCTCCTTTCCCCAAGGAGTAAGTCTTTGCTGTTTCTAGCGCCTGTTTAAGCGGGTGGAGTCTCCCCCAGAGGACGCAAAATTGCAAACAGTCGCATCAAGCAGAGGTCCCGAGCGAGACACCCCTTTACCCCCTCCTTCCGCCCAATGTCGAAACGCCGAATAAGAAAACGCTGACTTGAATACCATGTATTGTGCTTCATCTATTGTGCACCAGATATTGCACCAGATATATTACACCACGCCGCATGCATTGCACCACATAGCGTGCACATCATATGTTGTTAAATACGCACTGTTCGGGGTCCACGCTGGCTAACAAGTACACATGTAAAGAGGAAGCGAGAGAGCGAGAGCGAGAGAGAGAACATACAGAGAGACAGGGAAATAATAAACACCACACAGCAAGACAACGATGGAAACAAGCAACACACACGCACAAACAACCACCGCGCATACAGAGGGGTACCTACAGAAAGAGAGGGAGAGAGAGAAGGATATGTAGATGTGTGTCTCTCTCTCTCTCTCTCTCTCTATATATATATATATATATAGGTAGATCCATCTGTTATCATAGGAGAGGGGGAGAGAGAGAGAGAGAGATAGAGAGAGAGAAAAAACAGCGACAGGCAGAGATAGGGAGATCCCGATACCATATACATACATATACAGTGGGCGCGATAGAGAGCAGATGGAGGGAGAGAGCGAAAGGAAGAGGAGGAGGCACAAGAGAAGTATGAGGAGGAGGGCAAGGAAGAGGAAGCGAAGTGTGTACATACATGTTGGGATGTGTTAACCGTGGACGGCCCGCTAAGCACTCTTCGGGCCCGCATTGTTTCGCCAGCGACGCCAGCGTCCAACAATATGTCCAGTCCCACGCAGTGGCGGATACAAGCGTGGGAGCGCAATGGTGCTCTCCGAGGCCGATGCGAAGCACCTCCGCAGGCGCCAATCTTGCTCTTGAAAGCAGCTATGGGCGGGTCCGCCCGCCACGGGCGCCGATTTGGCTGGATCAGGGTTGCGGGTGGGTCGTTGGTGGGTTCCGGGCGGTTCGCGGGAGGGCCGCGGGACGACGCGACGACAACACGACACAACACAACACACCATTTCATCACACCGGGAAGCCACACTTCAGCAACGCACCAGGGGGTTGTGGAAGACCGTTCGGCCCCCTCACTAAGACGATTGGGTAGCGATGGTGTCGCGACCCGTGTGTTTTTGAAGCAGCGGCCGAGCTCGGCCCGCTAGACCAGGCGTTTTCCTTTTTTTCCCTTGGCCACAGAACCGATCACGTAAACAAAGAGTAAGGGTGTCTGCGCTGAGCAGAGTAAGTTGCCGATGCCACACTTGTCGTACGTAGTGGTCGGGGAGCAGAATGACGCATATCAGAGTGAGGGGGCTGAGCGGTCATTCATTGTCCCTGGGTGCGTGGCTGAAGTGGGGATCCGTGGTGGGGATTCTGCTTGTTGTTGTTGTCGTCGTCCCCCCCGCGACCCACCCCGCGACCCACCCGCGACCCACCCCCCGACCCACCCGCGACCCATCCGCGACCCACCCCGCGACCCACCCCGCGACCCACCCGCGACCCACCCGCGACCCACCCGCGACCCACCCGCGACCCATCCGCAACCCACCCCGCGACCCACCCCGCGACCCGCCCCACGATCCACCCGCGACCCACCCGCGACCCATACACGACCCACCCGCGACCCATCCGCGACCCGACCCGCGACCCACCCGCGACCCATACGCGACCCACCCGCGACCCTTCTGCGACCCGACCCACGACCCACCCGCGACCCACCCGCGACCCACCACGCGATCAACCCACATTGTTTTGACAAAGAAATTGGCGCCTGCGGCGGGCTCGCTGCATAATTAATAAAAGGCGCCTGCGGCGGGCTTCTTCGGAGCCTCGCAGACTGACGATGTCCTCGCCGCCCCCTCACTCTTATCCGCAACTGCGGGGTGCTACGTATACCACCCACACGCAACAGAAAGAGCTGTTCCGCAGTGGCCGGGGCCCTTTCGAAAACGATCTTAGGGATGCTCGGGTTAGGGCGGTCGACGAAGACGAAGCGTAAGACGCACGTTCAGCACTGACCTGCAGGCACGCAGTCGGCGTGGCACCTGTTCAAATGAGGTGAACCGCATTGCGATGCATGGATGAGCTTCCTCCGTTCCGAACTGGAAGTTGCGAAATGTGCATGCGTTGTTGCAGCTGGAATCGAGAACGTGTGACCATCCTGCTTATACTCCCAAGATCATGGTGTCGGATAAGGACGGCGATGTATATATATATATATATTATACATATATATAGTGTATTGTGGCAGCGTGCGCTCCCGCATTGTGACATTCGTTGGGGGCTCACCGTCTTGAACTTGCCACTTGTCCGACGCATTAGTCGAAGCTTGACAAGCTCCAATTCGTGGCAGCACTGGCCCTGGATTCATCGACGCCAGCGGCTCTTGGACAACAGTGTGTTGGATTCGTTGTTCGGGGTTGGAAATTTGCGCGATGCTCAACGCTGACATTACGGAAGCGTTCTCAAGGGCGGGCAAATCATTGATTGGAACTCACATGCTGCGAATGCGCGATGTTTCGGCATGCGGTCACCCACCGAGAGCCCCAACCGACTGCGCAGCTCCGCTGCGCATGCTGCAGGCAGAAACGCGCGACGCTTGAACCTAACATGCCAGAGAGCACGACGGAGCTGCAGGTCACTGGCCCGCAGCGACCTAGGGCTACGAACTAAAGTATGTTATAAGGGGCGTAGTTCGTCCCCCTTGTCGATGCCGCACTGGCAGTTAGATTACGGAACCGGTGAAGGCCTCGAGCGACCCTTGGGCGGAGGAGTATACGTTTCTACCGTTGGTTGGCGTGCCATAGAAAAACGCGGATACAAAGCACGTGTCGTTAGTGGCCGGAACCGTGCGCCACGCAGAGCGCCGAGCGCACAACAGTTGGCGTTCAGGCACTATGTTGAATGACGACGCACTGCCCTTACCATTGAAGAGGCGGAGTGGAAATATGGGGCTTGGGACAGGAGGATCATGCGGGAGGGAGGTGGGGCGAGAAAAGCGAGTGCGCGGAGGGAGGGCGAGGTGGAGATTGAGGAGTGAGTTTTGGGGGGGGGGCAGGATGAACAAGAGGAGAAGAATCGGAATTAGTGGGAGTGGGGTACGGAGAACGGACACGAACGAGAGGATG